AAAAAAATTGGCCATTTTTCGCACTGTAAATCCAGCAACACTGCTGCCATCTATGGCTGACACACCAGATCTTGTACATGACTGCCTGCAAACATTGGAAGCTGTTTATTCTTCAAGGCCAAATCTGAGAGACAAACAATTGATAAAAGAGTTTCAAGCAAAGAAGGGGGAGCACGGGTGGCTGGTAGCAAGGGATGGCCGCATTATCATCCCAGCTGCCTGGGTTCATGTGGTAGTAAAGAGCACTCATCATGGTACCCACTACGGACCCAGGGCCCTGGTAAGATGGATCAGTTACTATGTAACTAGAGTGGGATTAAGAGAGGCTGCCAAGGAGGTATCAGAGACATGTGAGGTCTGCCAGAGAAATAACCCATAAGGAGGGAGAAGAAAAACTTCAGGACATCAGAGAATAGGCAATGGGCCAGGAGAAGAATAGCAGGTGGATTTTACTGAGTTGCCCCGGCAACAAGAGATAAAATATCTCCTTGTCTTTGTGGACACTTTCTCTAATTGGGTTGAGTGCTTCCCATGTCGGACTGCCCAAGCCCGGGAGGTAGTCAAGACACTCCTACGAGAAATCATACCTCGCTTCGGACTTCCAAAAGGAATAGGGTCAGACAATGGCCCACATTTCATTGCACAAATTACTCAGAAGGTTTCTGAGTTCCTGGGAATCAGCTGGCATTTACACACCCCTTGGAGACCTCAGTCCAGTGGAAAGGTGGAACGTATGAATCAGACCTTAAAAAGACACCTTGCAAAGATTTGCCAAGAAGCTCGACTCAAATGGCCAGAGGCCCTACCCTTGGCCCTGTTACGAGTAAGGGTCGCACCACATTCTAAATTGGGATTAAGCCCGTTTGAAATAATGTATGGTAAGCCTTACCCTCTGAGTCTGCCCATGGGTACTGAACAACAGTTACATGTTTTAGGAGAGGGAATGATTAGAGAATATGTATGGTCCTTGGTTTCTGTTTTGTCTTCCATCCATCAGCAGGTACGGGACGTGCTGCAGACACAGGACCAGTATCCTGCCCTGGGAAATCGATTATTACCTGGGAGTTACGTCCTTGTGAAAGATTGGAACGAGGAACCACTTCGAGCCAGATGGAAAGGCCCATATAGGGTACTTCTAACGACCCCGACGGCCGCAAAGCTCGAAGGAATCAAGACTTGGATACATTCCAGTCGCCTAAAGCCGGTGGCTGGACCAGAACAAGAAGGAATCCCTGCAGACTCCGGGACCGGAGACAGAGAACAGTGGAAGGTGGAGCCAATAAGAGACTTGAAATTCCTATTCAAAAGAAAGGAACTTTGAATAATTTGACAATCTTTGATTAAGTTTTATAAGCCTTATTATGAAATTGTTCAAGGTTTTATTGTGGGGCACCCTGATCTGTCCACTCCTACTTATAGGAGGGGAAACCCTTTTACAACAAAAATTTGACCCTCAGGAAAATGTCTGGATTTATCTGGCCCGGGAAATTTTAAATAGAACGGACTTCTGCTTAGCGGGAGGGATCAATGCTCACCTGGTTTTTACCTCATGCTTAATCGCAGTACCAACCCCTTTAAAAATTTTACAAAATTATACTATGCTGAAGAATGTAGAGAAGAAAAGTACATATCAGAATATATATAAGTGGGGGACTATTGTAAAAGAGAAGAATAGAGACATGTTTTCCGTACGGGTTCAGGCAACAGCTAATGCTTCTGAATGTTTCCTAATAGTTAATTGTACTAATAATTGCTTCAAATTGAACCAAGGTAGAAGAATCCTTTGTAACAAGACCAATCAAATATCCTATGTATACAATGTTCACCTGTCGTCTTATCTATCTTCAGACCTAAGGTGAATCAAATGATTTTACAAACGAAGAAAGCTGAGAATACTAGGTTTGTGTTGAAACAAATTGAGTGGAGCAATTATAATAAAAATAATTAAAAATGCTCCAGAGGGGGAAAATGTCAGGTTTGACCTAGAAACCACTACACATAGCCCAAGCAAAAGTCTCTGTTATGTAACTAATGACCATCTGCAATGATAAGGAGGAGACAGTCTTAGATAAAGGAGGCTTGAAAACAAAAGCAGAATCAGTGGACTAGGGCAAAGAGCTGATTTAAATATTAAGATTCACACCCCTAGGTGGGGAGAAAGTATGCTAATGAAACATACATGTATGGAAATGAGATACATAGCTAAAACACAGGTATAGAGACATGCTCAGTAAAGAACTCCTTGCGTCACTCCCTTATAACCAATTAGCAAACAAGAATGCTTATGAAGGTCCAATACTCCTGTATAAAAGATGCTTAGAATTAAGAATCTGTGTGCTTGTTACGTGAAATTATTCCGCTTGCACCTTGTATTGCTAGCAATAAATCTTTATACTTTCACCCCTGGTATCTTTATTGGCTTTTGCATACCGGGCACGATCCCAGACTTGAGCTGGGGCTCAACAGTTGTGTAAATTTATCTGGGGATGATTAGAAGGAAGCGTGTATCATGGTGGCAGAGTAAATTAGCCTTGTATGGGACCTCAGACTCACTGGCAGGAAGTCTGGTCCTACTGTGCTGCAAAGAAGACAAAGTCTGGTCATAGGTGAGGAGAGAGTTGGATAGAGTCTTGTGTGCCTGACCCTTATATAAGGTAGGGGCAGTCCAGCCCAAAGACCCCATTTTCCCGCACTCTAATACAATTCCCTTTCTTGCTGTACTGCCCAAAAAGTTACCTTAATTGTTCACTGGCCATGGATGAAGCCAACATACTGTCCAAATACAAAGATGACTAGGCTTTTAAAACATCTTCAGTGGCCTCCTCTTCCTGCTGCAGCTTCTCTTCATCCTCCTGTTCCCCCTCTGCTTCCAGCTTTTACACCTCTTCCTCTCCCTCCTCATTCTCAATGGAGTGGGCTAACAATCATGCAATCCTCTTTGAGATGAACAGCTTTCAGAAGGTGCAGCACAGGTTTCAGCACCTTCCTAAATGAGGTCCTCCTGAAGGCCTAAAATCGAAGAGAAAGCTTTTGAAGAGAACTGAAAAATGAGTGAAAAAATGAGAGTGAAATAAAAAGAGGTGAGTGAAATAAACTCTTTTAAACTTGCATTCAGATGCCTCCTCTGAACTTCAGCTGAGCACCCAAAAAAATCAGGACTTTGCAATGACCTATTTTGTTAAAGGGTAACCAACAAATATTTTCAATCCAAGAAACCCAGAGTGAGCATAGCCCAGGGTATTTTGGGCTTGTTTGCTGAAAAAGCCTGATTGACATGGGGCCACTTCCAGGGCAGATGGATCCAGCAGAGCTGGAGCAAACCAAAAGCAGGTCAGTGCTAAAAAGAAACACTGACCCAGTGACACTGCAGAGCCAACAGTGGAGTGGCAGGACTGAGCCAACAGTCATGGCAATGGCATGGGATGAGCAGGCCCCCTTGTGTGTCCAGGGGAGCTCAGAGAGAGCTTCTAACATGTTCTAACACTGGCTACAGGCCATCCTAACCCTGGGCTGAATGTTAATGGCCCCAGCAAGCAACACAGAAAATGCTGGTAATGAGGCAAATCACCTCTAGCAGCCAGGAGTCAGGATGAAGATCAGGCTGACAGAAGCCAGAGGTCTTTCATGGCTAGTGCCCCATGGCTGGGTTCCCACAGTGATATGCATATGGCTGCAGGGGTCAGTACTTCCTACATGGCTTGGAGCACATGATGCTGAGGGCATGGACATCTCAAGAGCAGGATCTGCACAGGCTCAAGGACAAATCTTCCTTTGGAAGAGTGAGGACCAGGAAAGGAGAACTGGAAGGTGAACAAGTTGAGTGACATGCTATGATAATTAGATGTACAAGCCCATAATGGACAAGGAAGGCCCCTGCTTTGGTGGGTCAGGCTATCAAAAACAGAAGAAAAGAAACAGATACTCGCAGTGTGAATGGTTGGCCTCACTACAGTCAATGGGAATTTCACCACTGGCGTCAAGGATACATTATTGCACCCATGGTATGTGCCACTAGCAGATTCTGCCATCCTTACATTGCACACTGCCCGAGTCACAACCAGCTCATCTGAATCAATGAAATGACCTGAGAAACGCAGCACCCCTCAACCTTTGGATGGGCATCAGGATCTGCCCCTAAATGATGAGTCCCAAAGTATAGGTGATTGGTAGACGGGTACGGGGGGGCGGG